TTTAAGAAGACAGCCATCTTCAAACTCTGCTGTTTATAACATTATATAAAGGTTGGAATCTGGCTCTTGAACAGAAAATGTCTGCAAACTTATTTAGATGGACGTAGCATGTAGCAAGAATGGGTGGTATTAAAATGTGAAAGCGTGAGAAAAGAAATCCACTTGGGAGACGCAGATATGGATAGGATGATAATATTAAAAGCGGATATTCGAGAAATAGGTGTGAGGATATAAACTAGATTCATGTAGCTCAGAATATGGTCCAGTGGCGTATCCATGTGAACATTGTGTTTTGTATGGATTTTATTTGAGAATGTTTATGTTAAGAATCACTTTGCCATATAGGATAGGCATTTCTGGGACATGAACCGGGTCCCTCAGGATGGTACTTAACGAGCAAATAATGAAAATCCACCTTTCTAAGATATCTGTAGTTAACAGAGCGTCTGAAGTGGACGTTTAACTAAACAAGTTTTCGAAGCGTAGTTTAGGAGTCGAACATACTGAGTTGTAACATGGCAAGTGGGTACTCGCTGGACTTGGTGATTCATCATAGAGACGTGTCCACATGATTCAATTATTGGACCGATCTCAGCAGGTATCGGGAATTAATAATGTCGGCTCAGTGGTATTAGCATAACCCACCGCCAGTCAACCTGTTTCTTCAACATTAATAAGTTTCCTATTCACTCCTCCGTCACTTTTAAAATTTTTTTAGTAGACGTCGATACCGGTAACAAGAGGATGAATTTCCTTACTTAGTGTCGTAACATCAACCACAAACAGCTGTGCCAAGTTTTGTTAGTATTTGTTGAGCGGAATATTCGTGCCTTAACCTGAAAAATATTATCGCCTTAAAGAAATCAAATATAATAATAATACATTAATACGTAAATTTTATTTGTAAACGACAGAATTTATACTTTTATTAGTTCTAGCCTTCGCCAGAGCAATTTAAGATTAATAAAGACAAATAGGTGTAGAATCCTGGAGCATCAGACATGTTAATTTAACCACGACTCACCAAGCAGTTAAGGCGTTTTGACGAATTAACTATTCAATTCTGATATTTATCAGGTAGAGCCTTTCGTGGTTCACTTTGCTTGTTGTACTTTGTGACAGGGTTAATTAATTGATTGATAATCTGCGTGGTTTGAAATCGTAAGAATAAATATTTCGCTGTTGAATGTAATGTACTATAACATTGCTTACTTTCAGTAGCGCCTGAGGAGATTTGTAACTAAGATATAGTAAAAGAACGCTGGAAATAACTGAAATATGAGGGGCTCCAAAATGGTTACTGTTCACCATAAATTGTGATCATCAAATCAAAGATTTCAGGTCCTCACGTAAGCGTGTATGAAGAAGACACTTCATCTTCAAAAAGATGTTATAAACGAGGCATATGAAAGGAATAATACAATAAGAAATCATAAAAAAATGATTGGAGAAACTACAGGAAAGAGACCGCTCAGAAGACCTAGTCGTAGATGGGAGAATTTTGTTAGGGAAAACGTGTGAAGGGATGAGGACTGGATTAATGTCGTTCACAATACGGGGTATTGGCCGGATCTTATAAAACGGTTATAAGTCTTCTGGTTCCATGAAAGGTAGAGGGTTTTGACTATCTGAGCGACTATCAGCTTCTCAAGAAGGACTTTTTTAATGAAATTAACTCCCGGCTCCATTTGAAAGCATCCGTATGACTTTTATGTACTTTGGTAAGTTTTTTAATTCCCTGGCAATGTTCGTGTTCGTTTTGTTCAAAGATCATTGTCTCCTGCAGCCTAAATGATGTTTTAATTTTTCTTTATTGAAAGGCATGTAAATCAACTGGGGAAGAGTCCATTTCCTACTAGTTTCTAAAGCCAAGTTGCGTGCTGGAGTCTTTCGTGCTAGCAAGTCGTTAGCGCAGGTCTCTGAGTGGTTTCCTGTCAAGTTAACGCTTGTAAATACTAACCGTAGTCAGATCTTGGAACAAGTAGCAATTTAGAAGGCTTGGAACAACAACCACATAAATACAACAAGAATTCTTGTGAATTCTAAATCTACATGAACAGGACAGAGTTGACTGTCACTTCTGACTGTTTCTAGGAAGAATTTTCTGTGTGCATTTGTTACGAATGCAGCGGGAGACTGTATTTTGATTAGGGGTTTATTTAACGACGCTCATACTAGACCTATATATCGTCGATTGATGCTATTATTAATTAATAATTAATTGGATAGAATATGGCTGGTCTCCGGGCTGACATTTGAGCCCAGGACCTCCTATATTCGATACTTGTTACACGATATGGTCTGACGGTTTAGATTTATTTGTATCTCAAGACGTGTAGTGACATCGCAGAAATGTTCTTGCTTCTCTTAAGACAATTATGTTTCCAGTGTTAACAAACTGAGAGACTTATTTGAACAACGACACAAAGTTACAGACTGCGGGCTTCGAATTTTTCTTACGCTGTCGCTAGAGCTCGGATTGTCTTCGTGTTCCACAGTTTGTGTGTTCGAGACAGGCTGGCTCATCCGTTCAGAACGATTGGGAGTGGTAGGACGACAATCCTGTGAAGTGGACCACTTTGACATTTAATTACCTGCCAATCCACGCAGTGGGTCTCAGAGGAGGAACACAGCATTATTTGACAAGAAAGAAAGAAAGAAATGTATGTCCCTTCGTTAAAATGTTTAGATTCTATTTCAGTGGATAATCGAGTATTGGCTTGCAGCGAGATATAATTACGTATATGGGATACTGGGAACGACCCGTTCTTCAAGTGCCTGAGCGCTGCGGGTCCCAATTACGTATATGACAATAATAATTGAGTTGAATTCCGTCTCGCTACGACAGAGTGGATAATTTTCTCATTTCGTACTTGGGATGTCCCGAGTTCAAATCTGAGCTCGGAGATAGGTTATCATGATTGAATATTTGGTGGTTTCTCTGTTCCTCCCAGGCAAACGCTGAGATAGTACTTTAAATTAGGCCACGACCTCTTCCTTCCATATTCTCCCCAATTTATTATTATCCTATTATTAGACGGTACATAGTTCGAGCTACTGATTGTTTCCTTGAGACAAATACAAATGCATTTCGAATGATTTATTTGCTATCTTTTTATTACGATTTTCTCCTGGATTCTGATGACGTCAAAATGTACCTGTATTTACTTCTAAACCAGCATTTAACATTAGTAAAGTATTATGCATTATAAGTGCATTATTTCGGACCTCTGTAGTCACACGCGTAATGTATTAACAATTTAGTTTTTCAGGGTTTATTTGTTTGTGCATATGCAAACAGAACGGACACATGTAACGGAATATGTTGTCACAGTTGTCCCACCTCTTAAAATGCTCTAGGTGGTCGGGCATTAGTGACGCCGGGCTCGATCATAACTTTTGGCCTTCAGCTCCGCCCAGTATCTTAAGATTAGCAAAAGGGATTTGCTTCTTGAGAAGTTGACAGTCTCTTAGATGGTAAATAAATTCTCCACCTTTTGTGGAACCCGAATACCCATTCCTCTGTTCATTAGAACCAGCCATTGGACGCTGTTTTAAGCCAATTGAATCTAGTTTACACTTTCACATACTCCCATTTACATCTAGATCTATAGAATGGTCTTTTCACATTTATATGACCATAATTTTATAAGTATTTCTTAAGATAGTGTAGTTGCATCATATTGTGATTTATTAAATTAAAATTAAATTATTTGGTTATTCCGTCAAATCACAATGTATTTAAAATAAGATAATTAAAATAATTAAAATATCATTCTGTGTTCCATATCGAATAATCGATTTACAATTGGAACAGTTACAACATGTTTCGGTTTTATTAAACCATCATCAGGTGTAAAATTATATTAAATTTAAAACTCAATTACTGATTTGACGGAATAACCAAATAATTTAATTTTAATAAGTATTTCTTATTTCTTCATATATGTTTTATTTCGCTGTCCATCTCATTTTCCTTCATTTGACTATCCTTATAATTTCGTGAAGAGTATATAAAGAAACCCTGGCTTTTCCATAATGACTTTACAGGTTCTGTGTGGAAATGCAAATCATTTGCATTTTCAATGGTCAAAAACCAGATACTTATATTATTTATGTTGTTCGTAGAACGAAACGTGTTTGCGAGATAAGTCAACATACATGTGCAGACTCAGTCGTTTATTTCGTCTTATTAACAAAGAGTTACCGGGAGCCGACTACAGGTCTGGAACTTGGATAAATGTCGTCTTCTAAGAATACAGCAGAGTTTATAATTTGTTTGAATCACAATCATCAGCTCTATTCAGTGTGTGCATTTCGTAAGCTGCTTACTTTGCATTTCTGTATTTAAAAGAGCAAAGCTCTCGTTAACGAACAATGAATAAAGCCTCATGTCACCATTCATGCCCATTTCTTTCAGCCTAAGCAATGGCTTTCTACGTCACCTTCGCAGTGTATCGTGTACTTTTCTGTTCTGATATCTCCTGCACTCTAGTACTAGATTTCGGAAGGATTTAAGAAGGAATGTAAGAGATGCTACTATAGAAACTAAATTAATAGTCACCGTGTTTTGTTTTCAGCGGTTGGTGTCATGCCTTGACATGCATTTATGAACGCACTTCGATTACCGGATGACTATCGCTGTCCGCGTTTCTTTTGTCAGCGAATAAAATGGCGCTATATCAAGTGAGTGAATTGTGGCTTGTTCTTTGTACATTCGCGTACTGTGTACGTATTGCAGTCCAGTCAGTGGGGTTGTAACCGCTTAAGTTTCTGTTATTGTTAGTAAGTTTGTAGTAATATGGACATGAATCTGGAAACTGTATCCGGCTTGCATTTCAAAGCTTCTATCAGTTTCTACTGCTAGATTCGTTCAGTCTTCCCTTACGAAGAAAGTCGTTAGATTACTTTTGCCAAATATGACGTGTGTTTATAAACTAGTGTGTATTATGTGTATGTAAAACGAAGAAAAATTAAGGCTAATTTTTATTATTTGAGTGTGTGTGAGACATATTCAAGAATAAAATTGATTCTTCATTGGAGTTCTTCAGTAACAGATACAACGAAGCAGTTGGTGAGTACAGAATTATGTGCTTCATTCCTCAGAATATGTGTCTGTGTTTTGAAATCTGTTATTAACTGCTGAATATCGTGTATCCATTCTATCCTGATCTGCGTACAAATTCAAGTCGTCAAATAAAGTCATGTAGTTTAGTTTTCGTGTTATTTTTTTCTGCTTGATGCTGTTAAAAGTAGCGGAACATATAATTGCTTAGGTAGAACATCCGATTGGCAAAATTCATGTTGAGGCAAATACATAAATGAATCAAATTTAGAGAACACGTAAAATAACATCGGGCATTCGAAGAAAAATAAAAAGTCAGCTGTTACTTGTCGTTGTGCATGCTGGTTCCTGGCCAACCCACTCGTCCTGAGTGCAGTACAGACGATCCACTGACGGGTCCTGCAAAGTGAATCCCTCTTGACATTTGTACACAGCCACCAGGTATCGGTTGTACGGCTTCTCTGGGTTTTTACGCCTACAACACAGAACACCAACATTTATATAGGTGATATTTTCTCATGGCGGCGAGTATGAAGACGAGTCTTTCAGGATGTTACGCCGTGCAGTTTGGTAGAAGTTTGCCGACGTTTCAGGGGTGCGTGTTCTCTCCATCATCAGCACCTCAGAAACGTCGATAAACTTCTTCAATATACACTGAAAAACATTCCAGAAGACATTCATTTGCATATTTATGTACATGGTCGTATCACATAATTGCACAAACGCTAATTTTGTAACTTCTGATGTTTAACAACGTTCTGTTCATAGTGTCGGTGATTTAGCACACAACTGTGATACCACTTGTAGCAAAGGAAAACTTTCGAAACGTAACTAATTTTGGAGGTTGGTGGGGGAGGGTTCATTGAAATTAACCCTTTATAACCCTGTGGTAACGTGTACCACCTGCTTTAATATTTATTAAGTCTGCATGGTGACTCCCGATGGTTTGATTTACACCTGTTAGAACCAGTTATGCACGTCTGCGTACTGTTTTGAATACATAAAGATTTATGTCGAAGTTATAATGAAGTGTTATGCATCCAAGTATGTCAAAGAGTGAATAACTTGTGTAATGGTCAGTGTTTTCGAAACACGAGTAAAAATTATCATTTGTCAAGAATATTGTGTAGGTAGATTTATTGTAATCATGTGAAAATTTCGGTAATATAATGTTACTTACACGACTCTATTACATCGAACATCGGAGGCTAAATGTGTATGTTTATCAACAACTTGGGTAAATTAGTGACGAGACTGTCTCGCAACATTCAGTTTGTAAGAGGATTCCAAGCGACGTAAAAGGTATAATTCGTGACCAACATTTGTAATTACATACCAAACGTTCGGCTTGAACCTAACACAAAGAGCCATCCACTCCACATGTTTTATCTCCAGCACTCATATATAACTAATCTGTTTTTTTGTAACTAATGAATTTCTGCCTCTGGACACAACATAATGGATACGATTGCCTGATTAGAAGCATGTAATTCAGCTCACAAAATTATGATTGTTAAAATCAACTAATTATATTTATTAGGAACAGAATCGTGCCTTTAGAACCGTAACAGATTTAGAACTGCCGCGACTTTGTGTTGGAGTTGTAAAGTAGCTTAAAGACCTCTAAAGAAATGTTATTTTGACTCTTTAAAGACAAATATCCCATCTGCTTCAACGATCAATAAATCTTCGTTTTCTATTAATAGTTTTCGTATGATTCTTTGTGTAAACAGAGATTATTTCCTAAAACAACGTTAACCATTTGATATTTGGAGTCGTGAAGCGTGGTGTTTTCTTTTTGGTACAGACTGAAATGTTAAATATTATTTAAACAGATGTGTCCAATACACTGACGTCTTCGATCTTACTTTATCCCTCCCCCCCGCAGTGTCCAAGAAGTTTCCAGCTGCTTTATATGGCAGTAAATTTCTGTTGTCCGTAAGATTGGGAATGCTAATAAGGCTGTTTAATTCATTTTTCATGTCCTCTAGTTTGTTCAGCGATTTGACGTCGGAAACTGGTTATTTCGCTTTATGGCGTGTGTGGTGAACGAGTAGGTTATACTACGTGTAGGATATCAAGAAGGTAGTGACGGCAATAATATTAATGTCAAAATATTTAATTCGGTGTGAGCAAACAATGTTATTGGAAGTAGTACAACTACGAAGTCGTGAAGACACTTCCATTTGGGTAGCAACTTTGCTGACGTGGAGACATAGCTACCTCGTGTATTTGGCACCAGAAGTGTTCGGGATGTCTGGGGCCTTCAGGAGACCACGTCCTCTGCGCTGACCCAAGAGGCAGCTGAGGTCAAGTTTAGCGGCCATGCTGCTGTTAAGATGCACCGGTGATGCTTCCAGAATCTGATTCTCGTGGGATCTAGTCATTAGGCGTCGGCTTCGTCCCTTGTCTACAATAGAAATATACTGGCGTCACTTTGTTCTCATGTTATGGGCGCACATTTACGTCGGATGGCACTGTCACTGACCTTTGACCTTCTTGTTGCGATTCTTTCGTGCTGAACTACTTCTCCGCCTTCCTGACTTGTCAGCCACCGTCTCAGGAGCGTCTCCAAGCATTTCACTAGCGTCTTCGTACGTCTCACTGCGCAGACAATGCACACAACTGATATAGTGCGTCTGTGTTTATTTGTGAGATAAAAGTACGTATGTCATAGTCTAAAATCTTATTTTCCTTGCTTTCTATCCTACAAATTGCGGCTGTTGTAAGACATCTGTAAATTTCCGCGTAATTTTCTAACTTCATGTTACTAATAGCTTTCAGTATTACGTAAAGGTAACTTCATCGGTTATTTCATATGATTATAACAATGAGATTCTCAGAATATAAAATTGTTAAACAATGTATTTTTTTATATAAGATGTAAAACTTTCACGGCGACTGATTGCAATAAATATTTCTCAGACTGTCAGACCTGGAGATATTCTTGTCTATTTCGTCAGGGACTGTTTTGATGAGTGATGGAACTGTATAAGTCCCTGCTGATGGAAGCATAAATAGTCTCCGAAACGGAAATTAATTTCATATTGACACTTCTGATCATCAGAGAACGCTTTGTCGGGTCTTTGACTCTAAATGAACAGTGAAATTTACACAAGCACCTCCACGACTTGCCCTTTTTGCGCAAAGAACGCCCACTGTATAATGACTTAAGGCTGTACTTGTCGTGTTGTTGGACTGAGAATAACCACTTCAAATACTTGGCCTTTGTCCACTGTAAAAGACTCGGGCTTGAAAGCTACTTGTTTCAGACAACTTGCACTTACGGGAGACTAGTTTGCGCTTTGCAGAAAGACGCAGAGTCAATATTTTTGTAACTGAACGAACGCCAAACAAAATTTCAATATTCGGGCTTATCTGAAGGGGTCAGTTGTTCCTCAAGTATGTGGGTGAGGTAGGACGTAGGTCGCGAAGAAATTGCAGTTTTCATGTGTACTAAATGAGTCACCCACAACACTCATGCAGGATTTTGCATATGGGCGAGGAACACTCCTTTGCCACATAAGAATTATAGTCTAAAATGAATATTTTTGACTCCTATATTGTCTGTCTGCGCACTAAATTCTGATATGACTATCTTCACAGGAAAAATAACGCTCCTCAGGGAATGTTGTCGTTTAATGTCAAAGACGTTTGCCGGAAATTGATAGTAGTAGACATTTTAAATAATTTTAGTAAGACTAGTCAGAAATGTAATTATAATATAGGCAAAAAGAATGTTAATGAAATAGAATGTTTCGCTGTGAGATTGAATTCATCTGGCTGGGCTCCTGTGAACACAGTAATGAACCTTCAGGTTACATAGAAGACACAGAACTTACTGATGAGCTGAGTGACTATCAGCTTCTAAACAACGGCTGTTCCATTGAGTTAGTAAAAGAAAATTAAAGAATACAATTGTATATAAAGGTTTTTGATCTTTACAGAGATTGTATTCTTGATACTGATGTAAGTTGTATAGAAACGTCTGAAGATTATTCCGAAACAGCACGCTATTATAAACGAACATATTTAATTTTAGTTTAATATTATGTAAAGATTTAAAATTACTGCTCAGTTTTCAATTGTTCACTTTAAGATAAAATGTAATGGAAAACTTTATTTCCGTTATTTCAGAATATTTATCCTTGTACCCCGTCCATAGAAAAGATACACTTCCATTTGCGGAGATAATGTTATCTCGGTGAGATTTCAGGTCCTCACGGCGACGAGTAAGAAGATTTTTCTTCTGAAATGTGACACTATGTCATCTGGTAGAAATTAATCAGGGGTTTCGAGGTGATTACTACCTCAGTTATCAGGGCGGTAAGTCATCGCCCTGATGCTAGTAAGAACCTCTGAAACGTCGGTCAGTTTCTACCAGACTACGCAGTGGAACATCTCAGAAGACAACTATCTTAAGATTTTCGTCTCGCCATCTGTGAAAGTAAGATCTTAATTGAACCTTGAAATTCATGAGCTTCATTAAGTTCTAAGCCGTAATGTTGCTGCTCCAGCCTGTAGTATTCACCTGGATAGACTTACTTCCGTTGAACCCTCAGTCACGTGACAATCCTTCTCACCTCTGTGACAAAGTGCTGCCACCTGGAGCGTCTCATCTGCGGAAAATTAGAGATTCGTGTTATTAACGATGATTTACGTGATATGAACTGCCTGAGTACTTCACTATAAAATTGTATCTGAAGTAGGGCCCAAAAAGATATATACACATTATAATACATAATACTGGGGTCTCGAGTTCGATTCCCGGCGGTGCCCGAATTTATAACTTGTGTTGGGCAAGGCCGTGGTCTAGGCAACACGGAGTTTTCCTCCGGGGGCTTCCCCGGTTTCTCCGTGGCATCCCAACAATTACTCCATTCACACACAGAAGAAGGCAATGGCAAACCACTTCTGGATCATCTGCCAAGAACGTATATGAACAGGTCCCAGTCCGAGAAAAGGATGGAAGGATCCTGTTCATATGGACCTGTCGTCAGACAGAACACTAAATAAATAATAAATACATAATATTAACTTTTTTATCGATCTCCGTGTGTTGTCTATATATAAGACAGACGGTGGTCATTTTGAACACCTACACTAGATTCGTTAATTCACTAAGTGCCAAAGCTGACGTATGCAATGGTTTAATTTATTAAAATGTATTTATTTTATTCACTGAATGTGTATACACATCTTCTTGGGACACACTGTATATTCCCTACCGCACTATATAAAATTATTGTGTCCCATGTTCCTTTTTATGTCATCCTTTGGTTGCGAAGATAATTTGTGTTAGTTCTGAAAATGCTAAAGTGATACATATCACCAATATTTAACAGCTATGCAATTATTTATGTCACACTAGCAGAGTTTCTACAGTGTTAATGCAGGGAAATTCGACAGATGATTGCATATGTTGTCAACACTTATTGCCCGAAATCATATCATAGGCCTCATCATTCGTCACGTATCGTTGAATATCAACATAAAAATTACTTCTAAACCTAACATCTTCACCGAGATTCGAACCCAAGGTACTTTTCTGGTTTTGACCTCAGTTCCTGTAATTTTTTAGCCAAAAGAAACAACTTTGGTCTTGCGTCTTTTTTTATAATGCTTAGTTTTCGTCCGACACGAACCTCCATCATCGGGAATCGAACTCAAGACATGTTTTCTGGAATTTTTATTATTTTTGTGTTATTCAAAGTCTCGTGGATTAAGTGTGCCAAGTTGGATGCAAATTTATTTATCCTTTCTCGAGATTTAAGCGAAGAAACACAAAAATACAACCCGCAATTTCAAATGTATGTATAAGATCACATTAAATAACTTGCCATAGCTTACGAATAAGAAATATGAAATTTTAGATGATGACCTGAGGTTGAAAGAAGTTGGGTTGCTAATACAAATTGGGTTGCATTGGGTGGTTATTCTGTTATCACACAAGCTTATGAGCAACAGTTTGGAATTCAATATGCATCTTGTCGTATTTCACAGCTAAAGTCACTTGAACGGGCTGTTTCACAATCGTCAGAGAATTCAAGTTGGTTCATGTAAATTATCGTGGATAACAGAATAAATCTTACTTGCAGAGATTTTACCGAAGTTTCAGAGGTACTTAACTGCCTCCATCAACAAGACCACGGGCCCTACAGCCATCTTATCTTTCGCTTAGTCGAAAATATGCCTGAGGGGCGCGTGTGTTTGGATTGAGGGCGTCACACATTTTGGAACGGGACGTATGCAGACAATGCTACACGTGGTCTTCCCAGAACTCTGCTGGAAATTTCACATCCTCACCAGCGGGAATGCTAGTTGAATGACAAAACACTGCCAGAAACTCCATTGGGGTTCGATGTTTGTTATCTCCCATTTTCATTTAGAACGCAACTGAAGAGGAGTTTTGGTTTACAGGAAGGTCACTCCCTTTCACGAACTGTCCTCAGAATAGACCAGAGTGGAACGTACAGTATAAGCGACCTCTCAGGGTCTACAGCGGTATTTTCTCAACAATTCCAATGTCTCCCTTATCCCTTTGAAGCTGTAGGAAGTATGTTTATTTATTAATTAGTGTTCTGTCCGAAGACAGGTCCATATGAACAGGATCCTTCCATCCTTTTCTCGGACTGGGACCTGTTCATATACGTTCTTGGCAGATGATCCAGAAGTGGTTTGCCATTGCCTTCTTCTGTGTGTGAATGGAGTAATTGTTGGGATGCCACGGAGAAACCGGGGAAGCCCCCGGAGGAAAACTCCGTGTTGTCTAGACCACGGCCTTGCCCAACACAAGTTATAAATTCGGGCACCGCCGGGAATCGAACCCGAGACCCCAGGATTAAAAGGTCAGCGTTCTAATCGCTAGACCACCGTGGCTTTTAGGAAGTATGTGTCCTAAGAAATATCTTTGGGGGGGGGGGGGAGAAGATGGTTACGTGGAGAAGTAAGAGGCACTTAAGAACCGCCATCCAGTGATGAAATATGGTACTAAATGGCCTGTTTGTGTTTTTTGTCATTAACTCTTTGTCTCTTATTGTTTTCATAATTTTATGACAACTGATTGTTATCTACTGCCTTTTATTGGTTGGTCGTGAACGTCCGGATTATAATTATAAACGAGAAGTTATTTGGACTACTTATAAATTGGGGTTGCGTTAATGTGGACTGCTAAGCACTTCGACCCAGCAAGCATTCGCGTTCTCTAGGGGGCAGTTCCATTATTCATACAGCCCCAACAAATCGTTTGTCATTGTCAGTGGTGCCACTACGGGGTGTTCTACACAATGAGCGGTCATGCTATTTGCAATGTGTGGGACGTTGAAGCTCACATTTCTTAAGAAGTATAAATAATTCCGTTGAGCAGAGTCCTTCTTAGGAAGGTCATTGTCACTCATCTAGTCAAGAAATTCTATACCTTTTATGGCATCGAAAGGATAATTACCGTGTTGACAAAAGGACGTCACTATACGACCCATTTTTATATTGAAGATTACTCTCCTGATACGTTACGCTGTATTGTCTGATATCATTAGGTCGATGATCTCTTAGAACTGATGACTTGTTGCCTATTAGTTAGCTTATTAAAATATCGAAACTCGGAACTACTTCTCTGGCAACTGTCAGCAAATTGTCCCACTCAACCTGAAGTGAGCGTTTCTTTGGGTAGACTCGATCAAGTTCACAGTGCACCGAAAGTAAAAATATTTAAAATCTTTCTTGCTTAAATGATATAATACGAATTAATGTCGTGAAATTCTCAAATATGATCTTGTATCGAAGTTATAACAAAACCCATCCCATGAGGCCCAAGATCTCTTAAGCAAATGATTACAAACCAACTAACCAGCTAGCCAACACTTGGCTGTTTTATATACGAGGTGCGATCGAAAGGTTTCCAGACTGCGCGTATAAAAACCCGTACACTTATCTCAGGTATTAAATTCATCCATCACCCTCGAAGTAGTTCCCCTGGGAGTGAACACAACGA